TGGAATTGGGGTGAAATTAGGGGGAACAAGGATGGGAGTAACGACGAGTTTCTGTCGAACATGGTCTCTTAGACTTGGTTTATCAGTGACCCAACTCATTCTATCACCAAGGAAATGACGAGAAAAAAATGAAAATTTCACAATGTGACCTTAGGTGACGACCGGTTTTAAAGCTTGGGTTTCTATTGCACAAATGTATTTTTTAATAAATAAAAATGATTTATATATTTTGCTGTTAATTATATTAAAGTATCAAAATTCGACAATAACAAGAATCAATCGTAGATAATACTTAATAGATAAATAAATATTAAAGTAAATACTTTAAGATTGGATTGAGCTGGAGATAAAGATAAGTTGGGTTATAAGGTTGAGTTTTGTAGACTGAGGGGAGAGAAATAATGTTATATTATTAGATAATCTTTCAAAATTTCCGAAAATACATCCATCTCTCACAAATAGAGACTTTTTAAGACTTTTAGAATTTTGATGTATTCAATTAGAACTTTTTAAGACTTCTAAAAAGTTTACATGTATTCAATTGAGGCTTTTAATGACTTTTAATAAGTCTCTAAAAGTCTTAGAGTATTCAATTAAAACATTCTGAGAGTCTTTATAAGTCACTCGGTATTCAAAACAAAAAGACTTTGTAAGACTTTTTAAATTTTGAGACTTTTGGAGACTTTTGTAACAAAATTACAAAGGAAAAGTCTCAACAGAAATCTTATCAATATTGGTGAGATTTTGCTGGACTTATGTGACTTTTTTCACGCTCTCTTTCTTTTCTTTTTTTTTTCTAACACGACTTTGTATCTCATATCATTTTCATGATCTATTATTTTACTTATTTATTTTGATACCTTTTGTAAGTTTTATTTTCATTACGTCTATTAATGTGATTTTTTTATTTTATATATTCTTTATTATGCTTATTTTATGTGTGTATACCTTTATTATCTCATTTTGCTATCTTGTGAATCTGACTTTTCAAAAGTTAATGCTTCCACAGTTGCACTTGCAAATAATTTATTTGTTCTTTCTTTTTATTTGTAAATTTTTATTTCAAATTATTAAAAAAATTATTTTAGTTTCAAAGAGATTATTTGTTAATATTGAAATGTTTTGAATATTATTGATAATTTTATAAGATACAATTACGGTTTTTCGGCAATGTTTGTATCTTGTAAAAATATAACCTAATAATATTTTTTTAATATTACAACATAATGCAAAAAAAAATATAAAAAATAAAATCAATCAATAATTAAATAAATATATCTTAATTTGGGTTGATTATAAGTGTCGTTATAGCAGAGATGTCTAACACATATTTGAGCTTGTACTCTTTTAACAAACAAATATAAGGCCCTGCTCGATTCGACTCGTTGAAGCTCGGATCGATTTACTCGTTTAATAAATCTAAAATCTAAACAACTTGTTCGTGAATAACTCATTTCACATAAAAATGAGTTTATTCATAAATTTTTAGAGGATTATTATATACAACATCTTTTTTTTTTTCATTTACTCTTGTTTATATTAGTTATTATGTCACGTGTATTAATATATTATAACTGAACGTATATAAAAGTCTCAATAAGTTTTAAAAAAGTCCATTATGAAAGTCTTAAAAAGTCACTAATAAAAATTCTCTGAAAGTCTCAAAAAGTCCACCAAAGTCATGAAAGTTCTACAAAGTCTACAAAAGTCATCAAATTTAAAAAGTTTTAAAAAGTCCTTAAAAATCTCAATTGAATACACCCTTCTACATATACACACACTACACGCTACAGGAAGAGCAACATTTAATATAAAAAAAAGCCATTGAAAAAATATATCCTCCACCTTGGCTTGCAACTCTTAGATCTGAGCCGCCATCCTCTTCACCGTCAGGTCGTGTTGAGCTCTCAAGGCTGATTTGTTGGAAATTTGACCTCCTCCCTTCTTGTCGGTACAATGAGGTTCACTGCACTCGACACCTGCGGTTGAACAAACCTGGCTGCAACATCTTCTGCAATCATCAAGTTGAACTCATTCTTGGTGACCGTCAACCTGCTCGTCTGCTGGAGCACCTTTTCTTGTTGCCGGCGACCGCCTTCCTTCTTCTTGAGGTGGGTTTTTGTTGCGTCGGAATCGCCGGTACCATCTCGTACCCAATCTACCTTCTGGTTGGGTAATCAGTCCACTGGTTGCTGCTACGGACACCGAAGAAAAATCTCTCAGGCTCCAATTTGATAGTTTATCCATCTTTCGGGTCTTGTACTGAATAATAAACTCTAAAAAATATTATTCATATGCACGACAAAATTGCAAATATAATTACAGAATAAAA